ATAGAGGTGTGCGCCTGTGTAGGGTACAGCACTGCTCTGTGCTAAAGCACTATCGTTCACCTTCACCTCTTTCGCCTTCTTGATGGGGGAGATGTTCCAGGTAGGAATGACCTGCAAGACACACCAGTGTCAGTTCTCTCAGCAGGACATTAACACAGACCCGGCCCATTTCAGTCCAACACACAGGTGCTGTTGCACTCGAGTGACATCTCTTTATTGGTCTTATAAACAGAACTTGAAGAGTTAATCACTGCATTTCTAATCAATGTCAAAGACCTGTTTCATAAAAAAAAAACAGTGCATACTTTTCATATGGGGGCAAACAAAAATTACTAAAAACGAATAATTACAATTATTAAAAATGTTTCATTCTCGAAAGTGAGAACAAATTAATGCAAGCTAGAAATCTGAAACTCACCACGCCCTTCTCCACCACTTCTTTCAGCTTGGACCGGGTCATCTTGGGCTCCTGGAGAGAGAGGGAGTTTATCTGGAGGAGCGCCTCCCAGCAGGGCTGCTCACAAAGTCAAGCCATGTGTGAGAGCGCTGGTCTTGACCCCACCCCACTTCACACGGGCCCCCCGGGACCCCGGTCCGATCACCAGCGCGGCGCGGCGACGGCAGGAAGTGATGTAAGCACACCATACTCACAAACATGGGCATGTCCTGCGTCTCGCTGATGGCGGCTTTCATCATGGCCACGACGTGCTCGTTGGTGATCACTTCCTGTGGGGGGGGGTCAAGAGGGCACGGGGATGGGTATCAGTGCAACTGGAAGAGGCCTGCCTGCTCATCGGCGAAGGGATCGGGTTCGACCGGAACACAGGAACCCGCCCGTGACGCACTAAGAACCCGCAGCGCCCCGGCAGCCACACCGCTGCCAGGCGCGGTGCTTTAGAAGGACCAGCCACGGTCAAGCCCCAGCTTATCACCTGCCAGGCCTGTGTCCGGACACACGCGCAGGCACGCACGTCAATGCATGAACACGCACATGATCACGCACACACAAATGATCACGCAGACACACATGCCCCTGATCACACACACGCGCAGGCACGCACATGCATATGATCGCACGCACATGCACGATCGCACGCACATACAGTATGACCACACACACTCACGCTAATTCCACCTGTTGTCACGGAGACTCTTGCTCCGATGAGAAAGCTCAGGGGTCAGAGCCCTGCCTTCACACAAACATCCGCAGAAAGGACCGATATCCGGCCGCTGTTTATACGGAAAACAGCTATAAAAGAGCCCATTTAGCCCTGCGCTCACACACCTGGACAGGTAACACAGCCCTCACACACGCACGCACACACCGTGACGTCAGCGTGGCACGATTTTTCCACCAGCGTGGCTGTGTTTGCACTCACGCCATGGCTGTTTGCTCTGCCTGGCCCTGATCGCACCCCCCTCACCGTCACTCGCGAGGCGACACGTTAGCAGTGAGATCACCACAGCTGTGTCCCAGCAGCTCAGTCCCAGGGTAGCAGAAGCAGCTACACTTCAGCACAAGCAGAGTCCTCATTAGCAATAACAAGCGCAGCAGCAACAGCAGCATTAGTAACAGCTGCAGCAGCAGCTGTATCATCAGTAAAGGAGCAGTAGCAATACTAGTCAGTGACTTTAGCACTAGATGTAGAGGTATCAGTAGCAGGGTCAGTGTCAGCAGCTGTATCGGTGTCAGTAGCAGGGCCTGTAGCTGTCTGTGCGTCACTGTCAGTAGCTGTAGCAGTAGTAATGTCAGTAGTTGTGTCAACGTCAGTAGCTCTGTCAGTGTCACTGTCTGTAGCTGTAGCAGTGTCAGTGTCACTGTCTGTAGCTGTGTCAGTAGCTGTAGTAATGTCAGTAGTTGTGTCAGCGTCAGTAGCTGTGTCAGTGTCACTGTCAGTAGC